CATTCCTGAGGGATGGAGAGATGAGTGGCCTTTGGCACCTCTCCACCGCCACAGGAAAAGGAGAGTAACTCCTAAATGAGCGTGCCTCGAGGGGCAGCCAGCCTCGCCGGAGGTCGGGGCGCTTGCCTTCCCAGCCGTAGCAATCTGGTGCTTGCTGTGGTGTAGGTGTGCTGGACGGTGACGGCCGCCACCGCTCTGACCCCCTGAAGCGAAGGAAATGGTGGTCGGGGGGCCCGAACCCTGTCGGAGCGGGGGAGGTGAGGGCCTCGCGGGGCCGATCGAGGAGCGAGAAGTGGAGGCGTCTCAGAAGGGCTTTGGGCTCCTGCGAGGGGAGGGCAGGCCGTCTCCCAGGCACAAGCACCTCACGTTTCTCTCTGCAGCAGACACGTGTGAGTGCCCAGATGGATACTGATGGTCAGGATGATCGTTGGTTCCACCATGTAAAGGCGTTATTTTATAAAAGGCTCGTTAGCTGTCTGGGCTCCAGAGGACCATGCATACAGCTCTTGCTTTTTGTGTGCTCTGTGTTTCAGTAGCTGCTGGTCTTTCCTTGGTCAGCTGGGTACCAGCCCCCGTGTCGTCACCCAAGAACCCGCTCAGCTCCTGTGCTGGGAGGTGCGGAATTTCGTAGTGTTTGAAGAGATGATGAAAGTTATCTTCCCTGTGGGACAGCCATATTTGTCCCTCCAGGCTTTCTGTGCCAGTCTGGGGCTTCCTTTGAAAGATATTTCAATATGCGAGACATTTCAAACATGTCGCAGAAGGCGGGTAGTGTGGAAGAGGAGGAAGGGAGTCCGTAAGCAGTGGAGGACTTCTCCCTTTCTAAAGGGGAGGCTTGTCTGCACAGTGTGGCTGTGTTTCGTTAGAGCTCGGAGCAACCCAACCATGTAAATCCCCTGCCTTCCTCGGAAGAGTGGATGTGGTGCTGCTGGAAAGGGCATCCTCTAACGAATGCCGGAAAAGCTCGGCCCTCGTTAGGGCAGATGGAGCAGAAACAGGAGGCAGTTTCAGGCAGCTACCGGATTTACGAGGAGAGTTCTGACTCGAACGTGAAGTCGGGGTCAGAGTAGGTGCTCGAGCACGATGAGTTACGGTTGTGAGACATGCAGTCCTCCCTGGCGAGGTGGGAGGGAAACCTGGCTGCTGAAGGGGAACCCCGGGGCTGTCTGCCTGCCCGGCGGCAGCTTGTTTCCGAGCGCTGGTACAGGTCGTGGGCTGCAGCCGGTCTAGGGAAAAGGCTTACGTGTTAGTCAAAGCCATTCCCTGCAAGGAAGAGAAGGGTACTTTCTGGTAAGTGTTTTCTGACTAAAAAAGTAGTAAAATCATCTTATGTGTTGGGAACCGCACAGGGGCTTTTTTCCTATACATTTTTAAACACCCACGCGCACACCGATGGAGAGCTTAACTTCATTTAACCCCAGGTGTGCAATTGTGTTAGACACTAAACAACTGCGGATGGTGTTTTGCAGTCTGGGCTGTTCGGGACTCTGCTGTGTTGTGTTTTTTTTTTTTTTTTCTCTAGGCAACAGTAAATGCTCGCCCGCAGCGCATCCTCGACACGTCCTCGCTGACGCAGTCCGCCCCTGCCAGCCCCACCAACAAGGGCATGCACATCCACCAAGTGGGGTAAGCGCTTTGCAGCACTTGTGCCGTGGCGGGTTCGGGTGCTCCCTGCCAGGCACCGCTCCAGCAGCCGTCCCAGGTAACAGGGAACACGCCGAGGCCTCGGCAGCCTCTCGCTTTAGCGCCGGGGAGGTGTTCGGAAACAAAGGCTCTCGGAAAAGGTGGGGAGTTTCTTCCTGTTTTTCTTTTTAGGACAAAGAGTAACAAGCCTCACTAATTAGCTAAAGATGAATTGGAAGGGAGAGCTAACTGTCGCTGGTTTTACTGATGCACTCTGGCCTGACCTGGGTGGCATCCAAATTTCCCTTTGGAGTCTGATCTGTATTTTCTGCGCTTTGAGCTGACAGAAGCCAGGGTTATCTGATGATCAGCAAGCCATGCCTAAACTGCAGGGAAATTGAGATAATGGTACGGGCAAATCTAGGATTTGAAAATGTGATTATTTCCCAAAACCTCCTCTCCAGGAGAGAACACCGCACTTTAGATCTCGCAGCCCCATAATCAGTGTGCACCAGTGACAGTCACGGTTGAAACAAAGGGCCCAGGACTGCACTGTGATTTTATTTTTTTTAATGTTATCTGATAGTATAATGTAACTGCGCAATACCATAAATCTCCATTTACGTGTACATTAAAATGCTTTTCTGGGGCTCCCCACTGAAATACAAAGGCTGGTCAGTGAGCCTTAGGCCAGACGTGACCTGTGGGCGTGTGACCGTTGGAGGTTCCCAAAACGCGAATTTTCCTACCCTCAGTCTGGAGCTGGCACGGTCAGGGTTCACTTTTGGGGGTTTGTCTTTTGGAGGGGATGAGGGTTGTGTTCTTTTGCTCTGTTTTTGTAGAGGAAGCAGGCACTGAAGGATAAACCTTGCAAGAAAGAAACAAAGTGAAAGTAGTGTAAGTCACACACGTTAGGATACCTAAATCCTCTCCCTCTTTTTCACTCTTCAGAGGGTCACCTCCAACCACTAGTACAAGCAGCTCCAGCCTGACGAATGATGTGACAAAGCAGCCGGTCAGTCGGGACATCGCATCTGTAAGACCTGCCAATGTCGGCAACATGGGGGTGCAGTACACCCCCCACTCCCACCAGTTCCCCAGAACGAGAAAAATGTTTGACAAAGGGCCAGAGCAGGTAAAGGGACTTTCCTTTCAGATCTGACCTGCTCTGCTGGGTTTTGTTACACATTCCATTCTTTGTGGTTTATTTCTCCATGTCTCTTGTTTGCTTCTAGCTGCTGTTAGCTCCAGATTGACTTCCTCTAACCAGGAAAATAAAAATTGATTAAATTTTTTTTCTTCAGGATAAATTTTGGTTTATGGCTTTTGACACAGCATTATTCACTTCTGCTCCTAAGAAGTGTTTAATCAGAGTTGATTGTTTATTCTTTCATAAACATTTGTCTGCCTGAGTGATAATGCAGAGTCATTACGAAGCACAAGACATCCAAAAACAAAACGGAAGGACCACTCCGTTCAACTAGGCTTCATCCATTGCTTCAGAGGCATGATCCAGGCTAGCGCTGCCATCCCCATGAGAAGTGAAGGTGCTCTTGCTGATCCCTGACCCTCAAATGCTTTTTCTCCGACCTCAGCCAAGCAGAGACCAAGGAGGAAGAAGGGGAGATTCCTCTTCCTTTAACATCCGAACTGGCATTCCCCTCGGGAGGCTGATAGGTGCTGCTGCACCACAACCGTCGCCGCCTTTCCAGCAGCTCTGACCCGCTCCCCGCTTGGCAGCCCCTCTTCACTGTGCAGGAGGGAGGGTGTGAGCCCAGAGCGTTGCTGGGAAGACCAAAGCTCAGAGCTGATCGCTCAAGAGTTGGGAAGACCTGGGGAGACCCAGCAGTGCAAGCAGAGCCATCAAGGGTTTTGCATACGTTTTAGCATCGCAAAGACAGTCACCAGGTACTGGGCATTTTTCCATTTACAGAAGCCTGAGGGACTGATGTGGTGCCAAGTAGAGCAATCAGATTTTTGTGAGCGCAAAGAGTTCTGAATGTCACCTTCCGATGAGTCATGTGGGATGAATGTGGGTGAGTCCAAGCAGGACGGACATGCTCGTGGCCATCAGGTGAAGGTAGAGGCTATACTTACCAAGGGTCAGGGCTCGTCAGGGTTCTACCCTCTGACAGTAGTTTGGTGTCCACCTCTCCCTCTGCTTCAGCACATTTCCGGGGTTTTCTGGAGCTGGCTCTGTGGGCGAGAGGAAGGTGAGAAGGCAGAGGGTTTGCTCTGCTGCCTGCACTGATGCACGGAGCCTGATGGGGAGGACACTGACCCTCCCTTTCTCCCCCCAGTACCATGAAAAGGAAGGATTCTGCCATCTGAAGCAGTGAGGTGTGTGCATCGCAGTCCACAGGATAAACAAGACAGCACAGCTTTTGGGTGTTCTGACTACTGGGAAGTAACTGCTCTTCACTTAAATTGGCATTTCTGCCTTTCTTTCGTGAGGGATCTCACAGAACCTTCTGGAGGTAGAGAGTCAGTTCTTCTGTGTGATAACAAAAAACCCCCTGTTGAAGCCTTAGCAAGGGCACCTTCACTTCTCATGGGGATGGCAGCGCTAGCCTGGATCATGCCTCTGAAGCAATGGATGAAGCCTAGTTGAACGGATTGGTCCTTCCGTTTTGTTTTTGGATGTCTTGTGCTTCGTAACAGAAACTCAGTGCACACATGCCCTTGAGCTAAAGCTGTGTCCGGCTGTGCTTTATCCTCAATCACCATCACCGCTCCACTCTTTCTCATGCCAGATGCTTGGGAGACCATCAGAAAACTCATCCAGGGACTTCATTTTGCTGATATGCTGATGCTCCAGCCCTGATGCCTATGGTAGCCTGATTATGTCTTGTGCCGCACAGATGCGGGAGTCTGCGCATTTCCAAAGAGTTAATGTAATGACAGTGATCTTAAAGCTAGATGTAAAAAGTGTCATATCCTTGGCAAGGTGTTTGTGCTTTTTTCTGCCTGCTGATGTTCTGAAGGCAATCTGGGTATCACTGCGTATGCGTCTTGCCCGTGCGAATGGGAGGAACACGGGTTAACATCCTGTTCTCTTTCTGGACAGACTACTGACGATGCCGATGATACCGTTGGACACAAAAGTTTCATTTCGGCTGCAGTGCAGACGGGGTTTTGTGACTGGAGTGCGAAGTATTTTGCTCAGCCAGTCATGAAGGTAAGAGTTTGTCATCTCTGTATATGCTTTCTGAGTTGCAGCACCAGATTTGGGAAGCGCCGGTGTCCTGAGCGCAGGCTACTGGCTTTCTCTCTTCTTGTTCCTGCCTTTTCCTTCGGTCTGGGGAGGGAAAGCAGCGGGCTGACTTGCATCGTGCTGCTCTGGGGAGCTGCGTGAGCACGGTGCTCGTAAAGCAAGAGGGAAGAAATGATCAGAGGGAGCAGAAGAGATGGTGACAGACAGACGGGTAAAGAGCCCGCAGCAAAAGCCCTGCACCCCACAGGCACATCCAAGAAAGAGCGTAAAAATGAGGAGGGGGTCTGCCGTTGGTCTGGATCCACCAGTTTTGCACAGCTGCAGGCTGCATTGCAGAGTTGTTTCATTGTAAATGTTGTGCTTGTCTGTATATTTAAATTGTATTATAGTAAAAATTAATTGATTTTTTTTTTTCTTTTGTATTAAAAATGGAGTAAGGTCCTTTAGTCCAGAAAGGGCTGTGAGAGGCTGGAGAAGGAGAGGTGCTGTTTGCTTTCTGACAGTCCAGCTGGATTTTCTGGCTGTGAGGATGCTAAAACAAGCAGAGAAATGGTGGAGACTGCTGCCCGGGGTGAAGACCACACAACCCCAGTGGCAGCAGCAGGTCTGTCCCTCCACTCCAAGTTTGGCTTGACTGTGGTCTCCAATGTGACCTGAGAGCTGTGCTCTGCTTACGGGCACCCTCTGTAGACACCTTTCACTTAAAAAGGAGAAAGGGATAGTGACCTGACATCACCCTGACTGCATGGGGGAAATTTTGTAAGCATCATTGTTGTGTTTTATGGTTTTTTTTTAAAAAAAAGTTCTGTTATGGCAAAGAATGAGGGTGGTAATGAGAAATCTCCACTGAGACTTCTTTAGAAGTGAGTGTGTTCTGGTAACTAAGTTGGCTTTACGTGAAGTGAGAGATATGCCGAAGCCTTGTTCTAGGAAAAAACCGAAACACAGCTCTTGAGATGGGCAGAGATCATCGGTGACTGGAAACAGAAACCGTTAAATTCCCAGAATCTTTTAGCTAGAGATCAGGTTTCAATTTGAAGTATGAAGTAGAAACAAGCAGTAAATCTCAGCTTATTATAAGCAAACACGGTAAGGCAAGCCTCCAGGTACCTGGGGAGTCAAGCAGCCCAACCGAACAGAACTTCCAGCTTAATTTCTTGGAGGTGTTGCAATTCCTGTGAATAATAATGCACAGTCGGCATTAATGCCATTACCTGAGCAACTCCACAGCTGTTGTTTGTATCCAACCACTGATATTTAAAGCTTAATAATGAAGAAACTGTACATTTTATGTGTATTTTTATGTGCTGTCTCATCCAAGAGTTGCCACTGAGCCATCCATTGCCTCTCCTTCCAGTCTTTAGGCACGTTAAATCGGTTGATGATGAGGTGAGGTAATTGCCCCCAAGTTTAAGGGTACCAGAAAACTAGTTACCTGGCGGCAGGGTTCCGTGTAGCTTTGATTCCTTTAGAGTCACCAGGAGGAAAGACTGGATGGTAAAGTGGTTGCCTGGTGCTTCCTCAGCTCCTAGTGAAATTCTCTTTCTTCTGGTATCGTTAGCAGAATAACTCATTAGGACGTGCGTCTGGCCTGTGGGGCTTGGTCGCTTGGTCAAGCTTTAGACCAGGGTTTTCTCTCGTCAAGATGAGTTTTGGTGTCTTCATTCAAGTCCAGAAGACAGTACAAGAGGAGGAGGAGGAGGATGTTCCATCTCTTAGTTCTTATTAAAAACATTTGTATTAAAAACATTTCTAAGGAAAGCTTTTCCCAGTGAAGAGGGGTGTCTTTATTAATAAAATAAATCATGGCAGAGCCAACCAAAGGCAGGTTCAGTGCGTAGATGGGGAGCTTGGGGGTGTGTGTATGGGTTTAGTACTTCATGTGCATAAAATAGAGAAAATTAGGGGAGGAAACTGAAACTGTGGAGCATTCCTGTAGTAATTCAGAGAAGCCAGGGAGGGGGAGTGATGGAAATTGGGGGCTCCCCTGCACCCCAGTGAGTCCCGGCGTGTTTGGTGTCTCACTATGAGCGTTAAGGTGCTGCAGACTGTGCCCCTGTGCATTCCACGCCTGCGCTGGTCTGTCTCCAGCTTTGACGTGCGTGGCAGGAGTAGCACCATGTAGGACAGTGATAATTTCCTATCCTTTCCTTTCTAATAGTTTCCTAAGTGTTTTCATTTGGAAATACTCGCTGGCTGGGGTTTTCTGAGCACGGACCATCCTCAACAGCAATGTTTTACCTAAAATTTGAGCAAAACAAACTGTGTTTTCTAATAAAACAAGGAAGAGAGTTGATTTTCCCCGTTACTTCCGTAAAGCAGCTTTAAAAGGCTGAGTGGAGGGTTTCTGCAGCAAAAATTGCATGTTATGCTGTACTAAGAGGGAATTAAATGTATCTTTGTAATGAGAGTGGGTGGCATGTGTGCAAGGGACGGGGAGAAGTCACTCCACGAGAACTTTGGCGTTTCTGGATTGCTGCTCGTGTAATCAGGCAGGACGGGCCGTCCAGTAACTCGGGTCTTGGCTGAGTTTCCGCAGAGCGCTCCTTTCCTGGAACCGCGTCCTGCAGCACCGAGGAACGCGCAGCCCTGGCTGGTGGCTGCTGTCTTTTGGGAGCTCCAGCCTCATGAAAAAGGCAAAGAGTAAAGTCTACCAAGTACTGATGGAAGAAGATGATGCTGATGTTTAATTCCAATGCTTCATTTGGAGATGCTGCCTACCGTTATAAACGGGGAAAGAGAACTGTTTCTGTGATGAATAAACATAAAATGACTGTGAGTGCATCTTAGTCATATTTAATTTATGATTTTAGTTTTGCTTCATAGGCCTTGCTCTGAGAATGCTTTCACTGGAAACATTGAAGGATTAATTTCCAGTGTAAATCACTGGCTCAGTTTCAAGCCATCATACCGAATTTGATTTATTGATTATCTAATCAAATGAACGGAGAAAGAAAATACTGCATTGTGAATTCTCAGTGCACCAGGAAAAACAGATACCTACCCTAGCTCTCATTTCTACAGAAGTCCTTCCTCTTCCTGAAAACTCTCGTGGCAAAGGCTGTTCTGCTAACCACAGGCGGCCTTGGACTGAGCGGCACAGGAAAGCCGTGTTGCCAGCTGTCAGGAAGCCCTGAGTCAAGGAGAGCGGGAGTCAGCATCTGTTATTTCCAGGATTGGCAGAACATGCAGGCAGGAGCTGCTGAGGATCCTGGAAGGTGAGAATTACATAAGGAATCCTTCCTGATCAATCCCCGCTTTAACTTCAGCGCTGTGTCTTGGCCGTCGTTCAAAGTCCTGGTAGAGAAGTGAGCCTTCCGTGGAACTGCTGCGGTAACGTTAACCAGGGAAAAATCTGTATTTACTACTGGAGCCGTCTGCTGAATCTGCCCTGCTCCCCGCCAAACGCCGACGTCCCTGACGAGAGGGAGAGACAGTGTTAAAGAAGAAAAACTTCGTTGGCTTTCAGATGACACCGCTTGGTGGGAGGTTTCGGAGTTGTAATTGGTTTCTGTCTGAGCAGAAGCTCAGAGATGTTCGGAATCGGTGGTGTGTCATGATCCTCATCATGCAGCCCTACTTGTGACTCCACGGTCCTCTGGGAGCTCTGCCTGGAGAGCTGAGCAACAGCCAAAACCGGGCTGCTGGTTACTGAAATGACTTTCTGGTGCTTAAATGGGAGCTGGCTGGGAGGGAGACAAGACATGAATGATGAGCCTAAATAGTTCTTTTGAATTATAATTTCTGATTTTCCAGCCAGCAGCAGCTGGGCTGAAGGTCGTGGCTCTCTGCTGCACGCACATCCTGATGTTCTCCCGTCCTTGTTTGTCACCAGAAGGTCCCTCGCGACGTGTTCTGTGGGGTTCACATTTCCGCAGCTTATTGCTCCCTCCTGACCAGATCATCCGTACCGCCCTGTCCTGCACGGAGGGAAGGGCTGTTGTTGATGCAGTGATGGTCTGAGGGCTCGGCCGGTCAAACCTCCTGTTTAGCCACAGCACAGTAATTGCCCCTGTCACACGGAACTGAACTAGCACGGAGCGTCTCTGCTAGGTTAGTTATTTACAACACTTTTTAAGGGTAAGCTGAGCTCCGCAGGGTTTGTTTCATTAGTGTCTAGGGACTGTATCCTGAGAGGTCTCGTTATGGGAGGAATCTTTACTACGGATATCAGATGATAAAAACAACTGCCTGCTCAGGCTCCGTGGAAGAGTGAAGTTATTTTTCTTCAGACCTGAAAAGCCCAGCAACTCCTTTAATCTGATGTTCTTTATCTGCTAGAGTGAAGAGCGCTCTGCTCAGCTGCATAACTGCGCACTTAGTCCTAAACTCTGAAAGCCGCTGGGTGCCTGTAGGAGAATTTACCATTCTGCTCATTCCTTCTCTTCCCCTGGCCCATTAGGTCTTCCTTTAATTTATTCCCAGAGAAGCTGGATTTTCATTAAGGTGTAGGTATAATCTCTCCGCTCTCAAATCTTCTTTGATACATTTTATCTTAGGTTTGTTTATTGCTTTACATTATTGGTCATTTGTCATTGCCTTCCTAATAGATGCTGTATGCTTGAAAAATTGAAATAGTAGTGCTGCTTTTTTTTTTTTTTTTTCCAGGAGGAAATGTGGAGGGTGGGTTTCTTATTTTTTATTTATTTTAAAGAAGTAGAAATTCAGCTCAGTAATAGTTATTTTCCACAGTATAGTGCATTTTGGAGACAGTATCTAGTGACAGACGATTTAAATACTTGTTCATTCAGGAAAAAAGTGTGTGTTTATGTGGAAGGAGTTGAAGGTCTCTGTCTTTTCTGTCTCCCTTCTCCGAGAGTCACTCCTTTTGCAGCAGCCATCGTTGCCTTCATCAGAAGCAGCTAGGTTAGAGTGCTGTGGCTCCGCTCCTTGATAGATCCGAGGGTGTTTATAGAGCGGTGGTGCTACTAGTCTTGGAGCATTTTTTAAGCATTAAATAAAAGACACATCACATGCAACTCCCGCAGTGGTTTTGGGGATGAGATCACATGCCTTTATTCCTTTGATCCTGTACTTTGACTCAGGGCAGGAGCACCCGTGGTCTCTGCCAGTCGCTGGGAGCAGCACCGGGACATCGAGGCCCCAGCCGGAGCTGCCGGTTCCGCTGGTGCAGAATCCAGAACTGGCCTTCTGGCTGGATTTTGCGGGAAGGCTGTGGTAGTGTGCCGAGCCCTGGAGCTGTGGGGTGGGAATAAATGTAGTAAAATAGGTCAGAGTGGCTGTGTACTGCGCCGGGGCCTCTCCCCCATTTCGGGTGGAAGTGTGTGTGTGATCAGACCAAGGTGACACGGGGGCATCATTTTCTTGCAACCAATTCTGGTATGGGAAACCGGAACAGTTGCCATTACTAGTAAATGTGATGTTGGTGGCATGAGCGTCTCGGGGATTGGAGAAGAAAGTAATGCCTTTTCTGGCCTGCAGTCCTGCATTGGCAATGAAAGGAGGATTTTAATGTGTCCTGAGCTTTCTGTCTGTATCGGAACTCTGTTCTCTCGTTAATCTCGGGATTGCCACGTGATGCTGGAAGGTGCTAAGCGGAGTGATCTGCATTGCACTGAAACTGGGCTTGCGTTGTTTCGGGAGGAAAGGAGTTACGGGGCGTTACTGGTTTGGTAGAACAAGGTTCCTTGCCCACCCTGCGTGCGCGGGAAAGTGGTGGGTGACCTGCGTGTGCGCGGCTCTGCAGGACCCCACGGCATTCCCTTTGGAGAAAAGTGAAATATAGGATGGCAGAAGGAAAAGAGGAAGAGGTTACAGGTGGTGGGGAAGATTTGGATCAGAAAGGTGCTCCAGTATTTAATAACGTAACATCCCATGAGCTCCTCCGTTTACTGCCCGAAGCTGGAGACCCTAAAGAATTTGAGCCTGACACGCGTGTGCATGAGTGTGTGTTACAATGGTAATTCGTGCAGTTTTGACGGTTGCTGTTCTTTTGTGTTGTGAACATGTTGATACACCAAAAGATCCCAGAAGAGCATGACCTGGAGAGCCAGATTCGCAAGGAGCGGGAGTGGCGGTTTCTGCGCAATGCTCGTGTCAGGAAGCAAGCCCAGAAGATCATCCAGAAGGGTGAGTGATTCCCCTCTTGCCCACGCTGCAGGCGGCTTCCTCGAGCTCCGAGCACCGCGCTGAGCTATAAACCCCCCGTTAATGGTGACCCCACGCTGCCCCGCACACTGACAAGGAGCCTGCTCTCCCTCCCGCGCGCAGGCGAGGCGGCAGGACCTTGTTCTGCTCTGCGGTGTTGTGCAGCAGTGACTTGCCTTCCCCTTCTCAGCTGCTGGGTCTGTGCAGTGGCTCATAAAGCGACCGCTTTAGATGTCAAATGTCTGCCTTCCCCTTTGAAACTGAACTCCAGCGCTGTTAGAAAATGACGTGGCCCATCACAAGTGGAGTGCTCAGCCGGAGCGTAGCACCAGGCTGTAACCTGTTGAGTCCAGCGCGGGAGTGGAGGAGCTGAAGAGTAACGACTTCTTTGAAGGAGGAGAGAGCTTGCCACGAGAGCAGGCTTCCCCGCTTACGGGAATTGACAGCACATCCGATTTTCGGTGCAGTGTTGGCTCCCGGCCCCCTCAGCTGGTGGGCAGCGGCTGAGCTCTCCAGCCCTCCGTGAGAGCCAGAGCAGCCGGCGTGAGATCGATAATGCAGAGGTCCTTAACAACGCTATTGATTTACCATTTGGGCTTTTCCACCCCGTCCTGTAAAGTTCAGATGGATGTCGTAGTTTAGGTTGGTAAAGGGATGGAAGGCAGAATATTGTAGGATAAATTTCAGGGCTGCAGTCTGGGTAGGAAGGCTCAGACGGTGTTTGATGTGGTCAGACGCCGTTTGGATGGCCAGTCATGGCAAACCGGCCCTGCCGAGCTGCCGGACGTGTCCTCCGGATGCTCAGAGGATATCTCAGCGGTGTCCTTCCCGTTCTCCGCTCTGCTGAACTCTGTAAATGATTGCTTACTCCTTATATCCCGTTACATTTTTAATACTTGTATGTGTGTGTGGCTTTATGTATGCTTACACGTTTCCCTCTCGTGCCTCAGGTTTGTGTTTCGTTAGCGTGCGCCCTCCAGAAAGCTGATGCTCTGGTTTTTATGACTCGTTGTGCCTCTACGAGGCAGCGCTTGGGCTGGAATTCCTTTAGCACAGGAATTGATTCGAATATAGCGGAGCCCCACGAAGTGCCCTCAGGAACCTGCATTCTTCAGTGGCGTGCCTTGAGCAGCCGAGCCTGGGGAGCGGCATTGGGAGGGGGGCTCTTCTCGGCGTCCTCCTGGGAGCACCCCGGGGCAGGACCCCACGGGTGGGTGCTGTTCTCCCCCGGGGCGCTCACCGAGGCACGCAGAGCTGGAAATAAGGATCCTCCTGCATGAAGAGCTGCCCCAGGCTCTGCCTCCACCTCATCCTCTGGAGGTTTGCTGGGCTCCAGTCGGTGCAGTGAGCAGCTTAATGTCGTGAAACTGCAGAATATCATAAAGCAGAGCAATACAGAAATGAAACCGGAGCCCAGGAGATGGCTTGGGAGACCTTTTTGAATACAAAGAAGGGGATTTTTCATGCTTGCCTGAAGAAGTTAAATCTTTTTCTAGACAGTGTTCATATTTGGTTGCTTGACCTGAGCAACTAAAATGCCTGTATTCATTAAAAAAAAATGAAAATGTGAAATATTAAAAGGAATTAAAATAGACTTACAATCTTTTAATGAAAATTAGATTAAATGGATGCATTCTAAAACAAACTAGAGCTGAGTAAATGTCTCCTGGGCTTACGGTTTTGCGTGATGAATTCATACTGTGCCGAAAAATTGCAGTGTCAGGGGTACCAAAACTGTTTGTGATTAGCAAACTGTTCTGAAGAAAAGATGGGAAAGGTCTTTAACCATCATTTAAATGTCTCCATGGAAAATATATTTTTCATTTGCAAATTAACCTAAAATTTAAAAGAACTGAAATGGAAGATTAAATAAATAATCCACAAGCTAAAATGAAATACTGTATTTTAAATTGAAAAAAAAAGTTTCCTCTTTTTTTTAATTTTGAAAACATAATGTTGATTTTTCTGCCAACACAAACTGGTATTTCTCTGGGGAGGCAGAGGAGAGTGGTGCCGTGTGGAGGGAGCGGGGGGGATCCGAGCCCCTTCCCTCGGGACGTGCCCAGGCACCGAGCCGCAGCTGCCTCCTGTCCCCGCAGGTATCTCCCGGCTGGATGATCAGATCTTCCTCAACAGGAACCCGGGCGTCCCCTCCGTGGTGAAGTTCCACCCGTTCACGCCCTGCATCGCCGTAGCCGACAAAGACAGCATCTGGTAAGCGTTTCCCCGGGTCTCCGAAGCTCTCGCTGCCCTGCCGCACCGAGCGCCTGTGGTCGGGTTCAGAGCGACACGTCCCGGAGCGCGTACAGGTTATTGCGGGGTAGCAGTGCCGTACGTTGTTCCTTTTGTTTTCCCTGCTCCCCTCCGTGGCCAACCTTCCCCCTCTGAGGGCAGGGGGACGGGGCAGAGTCCCCCCAGAGCTCAGCGCCGTAGCTGTAAGTGTTGCACCGAGTCCTTTGCTCTGGGAAGTGCTGGGTTGGAGGGCTGCAAGTGAATCCCGACATTTCTAATAGTTACTTACAATGGGGCTTTTATCCTATTTCTTTTGCAGAAGATTGACATACATTGTTAATAAAATTATGCCAAATAACAAAGGAGAAAAACAAATTGAATTGGTATCCAGTGTATAATTTTTAGTTTCGCTGTAATGAGTAGATCTCTTTATAGCTTGCACGGAGAACCAAGAACTGACGTGATATTTTTTTCCTCCCACAGTTTTTGGGACTGGGAGAAAGGAGAAAAGTTGGACTATTTCCACAACGGAAACCCTCGATACACCAGGATCACAGCAATGGAGTACCTGAATGGACAGGACTGCTCCTTGCTGCTGACTGCTACAGGTAAATAACATATTTTCCCCCATATGAGGGCAAGACTGTGGCGCCTTGACAGAATTCAACTCTGTGTGAGCAGTTCTGGTCCTCTTGCTCTCCCCTCGGTGAATTTGGCCCAGCCTGAGCTTTCCCTCCCCGGGGGCTCGCCTGCCTGGTCTCAGCTGAGCAGGCATTTCCAGGATCAGGCCTGAAAGCTGTTTCTGGCAGTACTGAAATACCTCAACTGCTTAAGTAGGCGCTGCAAAGGTTCTCAAATGACTAACAAATCAATCACTTGCTGAAACTATTTCCAGTCACAGCTTTGTTCCATCATTCCGAGTCTTTACCTGTCGTTGCAAGTTCACAGTCACCTCCTCCTGTGCAGTACCTCGGCAATGTGATGTTGGCTAAAAGCTGCTGTCCAGAGCTGAAATCGTGCTGCAAACAAAGTGGAAAAAATCAAATTCTGTTACTTAGCTGTTTTAAGTCTAGAGCAGGCAGGGCTTATTTTAAGCACTAAACTTCTCAAGTAGTTTGGAGTTTCTCTCCAGTCCCTATATCTCACCCAGGGGAAGCAGTTCTCTAGGATGCCCTGTTGCAGCACGTAAGGTAGCGTGAAGAGCTCTTTCCCATTCATTGGTCTGTAAAGCTGTGAGTACGATCTGTTTCTCTCCCCAGGAGCCATTCTAAACCTGTCAGTCTAAGTGTTTTCAATAGCTTTTCAAACTTCGTGCTGAAACGTACAGGTTGGGTATAATTAAGAGAGGTGGAAGAGGAGCTGAGAGGGCCTTTAGGACATTTTCCTTTCAATTTATTGATTCTTAGCACAAAAGTTTCACAGATGGGGAACAAATTGAAAAATACACAATGTTCTTGAAAGATTTGCTGCTGATGGGCTGGGCTTTGATTCAGCTGCTTCTATGGGGTTGTATTTTGTGTTTAGTAGGGTACTTTTGTGGCTCTCGGCACCAACAGCAAGGAGGACAGAGACGAATCCTACAGAAAATGAATGGGTCAAAGAAATGGAGCGACATCTAATGTCAGGTGTTATTCGAGGGAAGGAGAAAAGCTCTTCCAGAACAGTTCCCGGTAGAATGATGCTTTAGGTTTCATGGTTGTGAGATTAGAGAGGAAAAACAACTCTAATAAAAGGGATTAAGTTCAAGTGACACTCTCAGTTTTGGAGTTTGTGTGACTACAGTTCTGCTTCTCTTCGTCCTTTGTTGTGCACGAGTCATTATGAGCATTGCATCGGCAATGACGTTGCATTGCATTCTCTTTTTCTGTGCTCCCCAAGATGATGGTGCCATCAGGGTGTGGAAGAACTTTGCAGACCTGGAAAAGAACCCGGAGATGGTAACTGCTTGGCAAGGGCTGTCAGACATGCTGCCAACTACACGAGGTGGGTCCCACTAAGTTTTGTTGGCGACGGGGGAATAATTTGTGATGGTAGGGTTTTTTCTAGGGATGGGGACAATAAAACGGGTTTCTCATCTTCAGCCGTTGGTAACATCCTTGTTCAACAGTCTCTGCCTTCTAGAACGGCCTTTTGCCAGGTCTTGGTGAGGAATTACTTTTCCAGTTCTCACAAAACAAACCAACAAAACCGAAAGCCCAACACGGCAACCTCACACATGTACTGAAGAACAACCAGAGCAGCCTCTTGCTGGGCAGCAGAAGGGTACAAACTCCTTGTCCTTTCCAAGCTTCACAGCAGCTGGCTTGCCCAGGCGTCCCTCTTAACTGTGTTCCTAAGGAGAGAGCTGTAGAACAACGGTGGAACTGGGCACTGCTCTGCTCCGTGCTCGTCGTGGCAGGAGGTTATTCTTCTCCTTTGGGTGGGAGAGCAGCTCACGTATTGCCTTTTCCTTCTGATGGGCCGCTCAGCCTTTGCACAGCTTTGCATGTTGCACCTGTGACCTCCCTTAGCCTGAGCTCAAATTTTGGCAATTATTCTTTGCTGTTTATTGTGGGTCAGGAGGTGGCAAGAGAATATGCAATCTAAATCTGATGCGTGCAGAAGGACAGCACAGTTAGACATTGGCCTGCTTAGAATATTAGAAAAGTTGGATGGAAAAAGCTGTAAAAAGGAGCCCTGGCATCCAGCCATGCCCAGGGTGAGACCAGGAGACCGGTTTGAGTAACCCTGAGGTCTGGTTTAGGACATTAAAGGAGGTGGGTGTTTCGTCTTTCCGAGACCTGGTAAAGTACTAAAGCTCTAATGGTGATTTTTCTGTGGCTTGAATATTTTAAATCAAGGCTACAAGTTTTTCTAAATGTGCGGTAGTTCAATCAGCACTTGTGGGATTGATGCAGGAATTGCTGGGTGAGGCTCCCTGGCTTGTGCTATGCAGGAGGTCAGACGAGATGACCGTCGTAATTCATCCTGACCTTAAAATCTGACAGTTCTCATTTCCGAGCTGATGTGGTTCATCACAGGAGTCTGACGCAGCTCTTTGAGCTATTCATTGGATTTCACTACTGCTGCCTTGTTGAGCTCATATCAACTATGTTTTTCTTAACACCTCGTGGTTTGTCTCTGGTGTTTTAGGAAAGAGGAACTGTAATTGAGGTAACTTTAGGCTCTGTGCCTCGCTGCAGCATGTGCACAAAACTGATTATAAGCTGCTGGAAGTTTGCAGCATACTGTGAAAATTGCCATGGTCAAAACCTGCTCTTTGCAGAGATGTCAGGAAAAGCAGAAGGAAAACGGTGATAGTGCACCGAGTGGTGCAAGGCCTGGATCTCCTTGACGCAAAATGTCCAGTAGTCACCTCTAGTTGCCCTTTGTAGTGTCATCCGGTTGGTCCCTATTTTTCTTGTCAACACCAGCTTTCCTGAAGGGGGCTGATTAATGTTTACCATCCCTGGATTCAGGATCTTCCTTCCTTGGTGCTGGTAACGGACTTGCCCAAACAACGGGGAATTCCCCCAGGCTGCTCCGATCTTCAGCCTCTTGCTGCATCACCGGTCATGTTCGGGAGGATGCTGACAGCTGCCGACGGGACTCCTGCGGGCTGATTCCGTTTTCCTGCCTTGCTTTCCACATGCCCCTTACCAAGACATTTGCTGGTTGTGCCTTTCTCTCTTTAATACAGCAGAAAGGATGTTAGCATCGATGGCTGACATTGCAAAATAGGTTGAGAGCTGAGGCGAGAGATGATTTAGCTCTAAGAGTCGAATGATTTCACTTGCCAAAACAGGAGTGTTGAAACTTCCAAGCCTGTTCTCTTCAAGATTTTTTTTTTTCTTTATCTTTTTCTTTCCCGTATGGTCTTAGGAAACCTGGGTCCTGTTTTCTTTGCCTCCCACCTTTGGAACAACAGAATTAGGTTCAGAAAAAGAGGACAGATTTCTTTGTGGAGAGAGAAATAAATGTAGTCACTTCAAAAGAGCTATGTGGATCAAGTCCCCTTGGAAATGAGACTCCCTTGAACAGTTATCTTTTGCTGCCAAGACCGTAGTTGTGGTCCAGCACTGGCTCATAAAACTGAAGATGTGTCTTTGAAGCTGCAGAGCTCAGGAGTTTTACTGGAGTTTGTTTGCTCCTGCTATTGATTTCCTTCTCTCCTCTCCCACCCTTTTCCCCCGTGTCATAGTCATCTGTGAATTTAATAGCTTTCTTGACAGCAACCAGAATACTGACTTTTCTGGGCAGTTTTCCCACTTATAAAAGGAGAGAGGAATATGCAATACATACATACGTCCTTTGGAAGCTTGGAAAGCATCCCCGGGTTGTCAGAGTAGTGGGAGGTCGACAGTCAGGTCCTCCGGGGCTGCCTGAGAGCAGGAGCAGATCAGAGTGAGCCACAGAACTTAAACTTTTCCACTCTGTAAAGGACGTGTTTGTGTTGTGCAGCCCAAGGTAAGAGAAGTGAGCTGATACGGCCAAGTTAGTGTGTTAAACTTGGCCCCAGTTCGTTGCTCTGAATAGTTGACTTGAGACTCAGGGTAGGTGAGTCTTAATTTAAACACAGGCAAACTGCTGTGTGGGCACCCTCTCTTTTCCCCACGTACGATCCGTTGATTTCGATCCTGTTTGGATCTGTACTCATGATGCACCAAGAAAGTCTCTCTCAGTCGAAATTGGGGTGTGTAAAGCAGCAGCGGTACCAGGTGCTCCAGCATAAGGCAGCGGCTGGGAATCCCCAGCGTGGGAGATGGAGGGGGCTGAGAGAAAGGCAGAACGCCTGCTAATAGCTTAGTGTTTCAAAAGATGGAGGAAAACCTTAGCGTTTCTATTGAGCAGCGTAGGAAGAGTGTAAATCTGACGTGCTCCGAAGCTGTGATTTCTCAGCAGGAGGCATTGGGAATTCTGGTTATTTCTATAGAAAAGGGTGTTGAGGGCTGCGGGTTGTGTGAGCGCTGCGTGCTCGCAGAGCAGCACAGACCCGTCGCCTGGCGTCTGCACGATGGCCAGGTTTGGAGCCGCTCGGAGCTGGCACCGCCGGGTCGTGGCGTGCCCGGGCTGTCTCCTACAGCAAGTGGCTGTGCTCATGCTTCTGAACAAAACCGCCACGTTTTGTATTGTTTCTTTGTGACAAAGGGAATCAAGCCATGATCCCCTGGTCAGAATGGCTTTGCCCTTTAAAGCAGTACAGTTCTGGAATTCGGGAAAATACCAAAGTGTGCCCAGCTGCCTCACGATTACCAGACACTGCTCAGCTGTTCCTGCCCGGCTCCTCGGGTGCTGCCGCAATGCCCGCGTTGTTCTCCCTTCTCCAGTCCAGCCAGGGGAACCAAAGGGACCGAGGGGCTCAGCCCCGTCTCTTCCTGAATACCTGGAGCTCCCTGTGATTTTCCAGGGTTGTCCCAAGGTGCTTCTCACTTCCCCGATTGCTGCCGTGCTGTCTTATCACCTAATGGCTTGAAACTAGCCTGTGGCTAACCTAAGGGTTGTTTAAATAGAGCACCCAGAAGTTGTTTGCGCTCTCTGTGTGCCGGTTAGCTATCCCCCGAGGTGCGGGGCAGAGGAGCCCCCGGCACAGCACCCTCGCTGCGGGGAGCCCAGACCTTCCGCGGCAAAAGCCTCGTGTTCTGTGCTTGAGTTGTTTGGATTTCCGTCTGTCACCTCCTGATGCATTTTACTTCAGAACAGGGAGCAGATCGTGCAAAGGATAGTCTCCTTGTTCAAGAAGAAATGTCAAATCTGTGCTGTTGTCAGCCAGCCAGAATACTCGCTTCACACATGACAAGCGCCACCGTTGATGGCTTCCCAGGGAATGCTGTGATCGAACTAGTGCCTGCTCTCTGGATGGAGGCATGTGCTGCTCTTGGTGCTTCTGCTTCTCTTTTATGTGCTTTCCTTTAATTTGAATTGCTTTCTCTAATCCTTTTTTAAGATTTGTTTTTGCTCTGGCTAACCAACTTACCCTTAGCGTCAACCCCTTAATCCCTGTCTTCTCACAGGTCTGGCCCGAAGGGTTTCAATCTATCTTGACAGAAGTAAACAGGGAGGTGAGTGCTTTCTTTCCTGTTACCTACCATCAGCTGGGGTGGGAAGGACCTTCTCCTCTGCTTCGGGTCGGTTGGCTGGTTGGTTGGACTTTTGTCATTGTTTGAATGACTGCTGGGTCCTTGTGGTTCCTGGAAAGCTTTGCTGCTTCTCCCTCTCCCGTTCCTTGCCTTGTGCTGTGTCCGTAACAGCCGTGAGAAGTGCAGGGAGGGTGTCCGTGCTCTCTAGGTAAGAGCAGCCAGCCGCTGCGAAAAGGGCATCTTTGTGTCAGTGAGCTTTCCGCAGTGAGAGGAGGTTTGGGTGGGATGTACAAGTCTCTCCTTTCAGGAAGGTTTCAGAGCATCCCTGGACAAAAGGGTTTGAATGACAGGTTCCAAACCTGAACCACCGTTCAGCTAATGTGGATTTTACTGGGGTTCATTTGTAATACGCTGTTGCTATAAAGATCGTCTGGAAAGGAGAAGCTGATGAATCTTTCCCAGGAGGCGTAGAATAGTGGACTTTTGGCAAGGCTATGCCCAATAAATTTTACAAATTCTGTTCTTTCACGTGGAGGGAAGGTAAATGAACTCCCCACCTCCATCTGTAGAAGCCAGGACTGCGCAGTGCCTGCAGTGCTCTGGAGCCTGGCCCCCTCCTCTGCCGCCGAGGTCCTCGGGGGAAACAGATGCCTAATGCGTCAGGGCATCTTTGTGTGTACGCACGTCCAGGGGAGTTAATGTTGACGTAGTCATCTTGGGTTATTCATCAATTATTAATATTTGCTGACTGATAAGAGCTGCATGTGTCTGTAACGATTAATAGGACGAAGATGATTGCAGTGGGGTGTGATTCGGAGCTCTTTAGCTCGAGGTCTTTGCAAATCTCTCTCTCGCTGTTCAGAGCCAGAGCACTGGGATGGAAGTCAGCAAAGCTGATGTGTTGCTGTTAGCTGCCTGGCTCTGCATTTCACTCAAAATTCCGCTGGCAAACGGAAAGGCTAAAATTAGCAAGACTTGGCTGCGGGGAATTCCTCACTCAGTAAACTGGGTGTCCAAAGGGTTTGAGGAAATAGCAGCCACTCCCTGGCTGGATCAATACTGCCGATGCCAGGCGATCGCCCTCTGTCCCCAGCACACAAATAACTGAATCAATAAAAAGCATTCACCAGCATTTTCTGGCCAGGTGTTCTCCTAGTGAAAAGTGCAGCAAAAGGATTCCTTCTCTCCAACTGAAGAAGTCTTAAAAAATGTATAAGATTAGCTATTTGCTTGACAGAAAAAAACGTTGGCAACGTTTAGATAAAATATACCGGTCAGTAAAGCACAGAAAATCTGTTCTCATTGCCTAGGCTTCTGTGAGGGACTTTTACCCAAAGAAAGATTGGGGACTGTCTCTTTGTTCTCGCATCGCTGGGTGCTGGTTGCGGGCAGGATCCCCAGGCACCGCTGCGTTGCAGATCAGTGGCAACTCAGAGCAAGACCAATGACCTCGTGGTCCAGGTCACATCAGGCCACCGTGCAGGTCGGCCCGGGAATCCCCAAGGTTGGTGTGAGCACGGAGCAGAGCTGCAGCCGGCACGTTCAGCGCCATGAAGGCTGCTGCGCTTGCAGGAGCCTGGCGATGGATTGGTGTGACCCTCTGCCCGGGCTGCTTCACCTCCGGCTCCGTCAGGGCTCTCTTGGGGCGCCTCGGCACAGCGCTGCATTGCCTCCCCTCGGCATCATCGCTGAACGGGCCGTACGAAGGAGACGGTGTTAACGAGAGAATGTACGTCCGACCTGTGCTCACCTCTATCCGTCGCTGCCTCTGGGGGTTGTTGGTGTTGATACGTAAACAGCCGTAATCTGTCTTACCTCGAGAAAATTTACACTGATGCCAAGCAAGAAAAAATAAACACATCCGTGCCAGCTCCCTGCTTCCCGCCTGCTCTCCTGCGGCTTCCGAAACAAAGCGAAAGACGTCAAATACCTGCTCTGCAGAAAACCCGGACCTCGGCCTCTGGAGGCTCTGCTCTGCTTTGAATATTGCTGACTGCTGGCAGGCAGCGATCCAGGGGGGAGAGGGGGGAGAGGCAGCCTCGGGGCGGTCTTAGAAATAAAAATTAACAGCTTACTGGAAGGGAAGTTTCCAGGGGAGCTGCCGGGCCCTTGAGGTGCGTGGGGCAGAGAGGAGCCTTGGCAGAGGGAAGGCTCCAGCCTGCAGAAGGAGCTGATCAAATGATCAAACTCAAACAGAGCTTATACTGGAGAACAGGAAGGAGAGAGAAAAGTATAGTGGGGCTTCCCGCATCTCCCCGGGGTGGTATCTTCTCCTTTAGGAATAAGAAGTTTGGTAGAAGCACTTTATTTCTGGTCAGATTTTTTTTTATGGCAATAAAATAATTGGAGAAATTGCAGCTCCAGGGGTTTGTGTTCTTTTAATTGGATTCCCAGGATCACAGCTACTCTTCTCCCTCGCTGCGCTCAGTCCTTGGCATAAGACGAGTGACACTTTTTGAAAGGATGTTGTAGAAGTGAGTGATGAGCGAGGTCATACAACCCTCCCACCGCTTCCTGGAAATTAAAACAGTGATGTACCGCATTGCTCAACCAGGAGGGCCCATGACTAAAAATTGTGAGTCGGAATCCGAGATGCTCTTATATTGTGTTCTATGTAGGTATTCCTGATTTCATTGAAATGCCAAGTACAGGTTGGCCACGTTCCAGTGACATTAAAAATAAGTGTAGACACTCAGAATGCAGCTGCTTTCAACACTAGTGTTATTTATTGAAGTTTATACAAGGAACTATCCCATCCAAATATCTGTTGCTCAGGGGGAATCCTGAGGGAACAGCCATAGGAAGTTACAGCTTCAAGATGTACACATACATATGGCTGTTGCGATGTGTTCCCTTGTATATAAACTTGCAGCATGCAGAACTGTAAGTATTTGTGTTGGGTTTTTTTTTTGAGTCTTTAACAACCCAAAACAAAATACAAAATTCAGAAAAAACCCCCACAAACCTTTAAAAATTTATTTTCTCGAACTGTGGAAGATTTGTTGCTCATTATCTGAGAACATAACATTCCTTACAGGAAAATTTCATCTTTCTTGACTAACGATGCATTAAAAGAAGCGCCTTGCTGGGATGCCCGTTTCTGCAATTCCTTGGCTTCTGAGAGTACCACAGTTTCACTGCTGGCCTTTCTCAGACGGTTGCATTGGTGTCACGGCATTGCCCCCGTTTGCTCCGTTTCTGTAAGTAGGTAGGAGCTTGGAAATAAGTATTTTGGAGGTGGTGCAAGACCTGGCTACGTGGCGCAGGCGCGGAGCTGAGCGCCATGGGTTTGCAGAGTGCGTTACCTTTTTGCCAGAATGAGATGCCAAACCTGCAGGCCAAAACACAGCAGGCGACCTGCCGTCTCAGCGGTGACATCCTGGAGAAGGACCTGTTAATTAAAAAGGAAATGACAATTAGTTTTAAGTCCCACGTTTGCTTCTCATCCCAAAATACTAGGAATTTAACACTGTATACTAGGAATTTAATACTGTATCATTTCCACCATGAAAACGTTTGCCCACACACAGAGATATGCTCAGCTATTTGTGTCTCATTTCGTACTGCGAGTGTCATCTTTGAATTTACCATTTCACCGTCAGAGGAAGCCTTCCTTCCCTGCAACGTGCTTGCGAACAACTTTATGTACAGAGGCTTTTCTTCTTTTCAGACACATTTGAATCCTGGTTTAGCGTTTCCAGTCACATCCTGGGCTCCCCTTTCCCCCTTTCCTTCACCCGCTGCTTTGCCAGGGCATCGCCTGGGCTGCAGCGGGAGCAGACGCCCGGGGCTGGGCACAGGAACCACCTCTGCAGCCGGGACCCGGCGCCGTTCCGGGCCGCAGATGGAGCCGGCCCCATCTCCCAGCGGGAAGGTGCCGGGAGTTCTCCTCAGCTGCAGTTTTTATACAAATTTTCTGTGACTTCTGATGCCTGCGCTGTGTGACGCAATGCGAGCATCATCCTGCGCTGGGGCTGCCTAGCCCACCCGCGAGCACTGCACATCGGGAGCAGCACGCGTGGTATTTCGTATTCTCTGGAGAGGGTAAGGTGGCTGATGAAAGGGAAGATCCCTTGTTGTGGGAGGATCAAACTGCTGCACCTGCCTCTCCCAGAGAGCAGAGGTTATCCCTTACACGGACTGTTTAGGTTTTATAGGAAAGGCAGAGGCTGCATGGACTGCTTGAAGACCATGAGCCGCACGGTGCACCGACATCGTCCCTCTCCTTCCTTTCCGCCTGCGGGCTCTGTCAGCTCCTGCTCCGGGCTGAACCCTTGGCCTTTCTGTCTGGTCACTTCTCGTGGGATTGCTCTGTACCATTTTACATGGAGCAAAAACCCCTCTGGAGCTTCTTCCCTCAGTGAAACTTTCTAGATGGTGTTGCTGAACATCCTCAGCGCTTGAATTCCCGACAGATGTACCAAGACAAGCACCGAAACCAGCAGCCATCGCTCTCAATTCACCGTCTCTCTCACCCTCCACAGAAAAGACACCTGGGACCACAGCAGCCTGGGGACTTGCTACCGACCAGACTGGAGAAGAACATTGTCTTCAAACTGGGGAATGTAACTGGAAAATTGGGAGCTTCCAAACTGCCTAAGAGCACATTGCCTACTTAACTCCATCAGCGATGGTAATGGCGATATCTATCTCAGCCTGCCAGGTTTATCTTGTCACATGGGCCATAAACAAGATGACAAATGAAAACACTTCAGTGATGTTTATCATCTAAATCACTGCCTGCTTGTTTGCCTCGGATCTCTAGCAGCCCTCCGAGCTGCCAGGCAATCTGAAGTAACAATCAATTGGACTCACGAGATAAAGACACAAGCTCTCAGCTTAGCTGCGAGTCCTGAATTTCCTGCGGTAAGATGACGGACTGTCAATAACCGTCAGTAATCTTCTCAGTGGTGTGCAGCAAGATCAGGAAACGGCTTGGGTGCAATACTTAGAAAGGGGAGACGGGCAAAATATTTTATCCGGATCTGTGCAAAACAAGGTCACTTCATCGTCTTTGAAGAAAACACGATGTTTATAGGATGCCTCTGTGGTTTCCTTTGTGCCCTGTAAAGGTGTTTGGTCTGGTAAAAAGTACTTACGGCCCTTTGGTGACAAAGAGCATGTTGGGGTAGGTTTACATTTCCTGCGGGGGCTAATTCCCAGCAGTAAATCGAGACGAACTCACCTCCGTACCTTCTGGGCAAGTTGTGCACTTGTCCCTTGAGTGTCTGCGGAGTGGGAATGCAGGAATCCCGCTGGAGGCGGCGACGGGGGGCTCGAGGCAGGAGCCCGCAGTCCTGATGCGCTGCGGAGTGCTGTCTGACTCCGGGTTCCACGCCGTTATAAAATACGTCTCGGCACCAGCGTCTGGGTTTGGTGGGGACGAGAGGGTGAACCGCTGCCCTGCGAGGCAAGGACGCTGCTCCTGCCTCTGCCTGCGGAGATGGACACGAACGCGAAAACGGGAGCTCTTGTCTGGTTCCCTCGTGTAGCGCTCCTGGGGGGTTGGTTTGTGGTTTTAATGTATGAATAAGAGTCTCCCTGGAAAACCCATAGATTTGGGGTTGGTCAGCCTGAAAAAGCAGGTTGCAGCAGAAAAAGCAAAAGATAATTGGTGTACAGCTCAGGATTTGTTCCTCAGAGATTTCCCCTACCGCATCAGGGGTTTCACAGCCAGCCGTTTCCCGATACCTGGGTTGTTCTGACGCTGGTGTGCTCCGTGCTTAGGAGAGCCGGTCACTCCGTGGCTTTTGGACACCTTGTTCCCCCGGCTGGGAAGGGAGGTGACGTACACTTACTCTGCTCTGGAAGTTGCCGTACCGGCCCAGTCGGTGAGTTGGTGCAGCCTGCCGACCTGCCCAAGAGCGGGTGCCCATGGCAGGTGTTCGGGGGATAGAAAATCCCTTGTAATTCTCTTACAGCACAAGGGGGACATTTTTCTGAACTTCACCCGGCAATCAGTTTATGCCCTCAAAGATGAGGAGCCGAAAGCTCTCATAAATGTATTTTAGCTAGTGTAATTGCAGAACGTTCCCTTCCTTGTCTGTCTGTAGAGCAAATTGGTTTTTACTCCTACCAAGCTGTTTAATTCAATCTCTTGCAGCAATGACTTTGCTGTTCCTTGTTTAGAAACATCTCCCCTTAGCCACGTATTTCTATTAGAACGAGGAATCATGATAGTCCAGAGGCTCTCAGCTCTTGCTGCGTGAGATGTCACCAGTTTAGTCTACTTCAGTCATCATTTAATCCAGTGTTCTCATGAACTGGGGGGTAATTTATTAGGATTCCCTTAGAAGTCCGCAGCAGCTTGGCAGCGTCCCTGGAAGTTTGTACTCACCCACCCGTAGGGACCATCTCATCTCAGCTTTTCTAAGCACTTCAGCCAGACAAGAGGTCAAAGACATGTTTTGGGCTCAAATCCAGGACCAGCTGATTTGATCCCATTTGGAGGATGTATGGATGTGTGTGTATGTAGTTTTAAATTTCCTCTAATAACGACTGTTTCTGTAGCATGAGGTCATGAAAGCTGCTGTTCTAATTAGCGCAGCTCTGCCTGTGCTGATGCAGATATTAATTGTCGCGCCGTGCCTGTGTTTTGCCTTAGGAGCAGTAATGGTAGTCGACTGGGAACAAGAAACCGGGCTCCTGATGACATCGGGAGATGTGAGGATAATCCGGATCTGGGACACAGATCGGGAAATGAAAGTACAGGTAACATCTGCGTGTTTGTCCCGTTCGCCTTTCCTACACAACACGTCCCCGGCTGTGAGTTACCCCGTGCGCAGCCGAAGCATCTGAGACTCCTCTGAAGAGCTGGCAGGTTCTGGAGCTTCTGCTTCCCTGCCGAAGAGTCACGTTAGCAGATAAATAAAATACACAGATAGCGAGCGTGTCCTTTCCTGGAAGCTGCTGTTGCTGTTCTGGGCAGTGTGCCACGGTGTTTGGGAAAGGTGAGGCTGTGAATTCCAGAGGCAGGCACCAGGATGCAGGTAGGGTTTCCTATTAGCATTTAACTGAAATAGTGTAAAGATTCTTGGGGAAATGTGGTGAGTCGGGTCGGTGGTGGAGCGTTCGGACTTAGTGCTGCCATCTCCACTCCTCCGGGACGCACAGAGAGCTGATTACAGAGCAGCGCTGCCCTCGTACCGACCAGCCGCAGGTCTGGTTTCAGGGAAGCTGCATCCACAGAGAGAGCACTGAGGTACCTGCTCAGGACCTGGGCAGCACGAAGCACCGTTCCAGTCGTACGGAACTTTCTGCGCAGCGTAGCGGGGCAAAGACGCTGCAAGCGTTCATGTTGATTGTCATCAAATGGAAGTTTCTCAGGAATGACAAGGAGAAGCAGCTCATCTGTGAGAATGGAGTCACCATGCTGGAGAAAAAAGGAAGACTAGTTTTCAAAGCTTCTAGAAATTAATTACCCTTGGATGAACATTAATTACGACACTTTGACCCTGCAATGCAGGATAATTAAGCCTATGTTAATCTTAATTACTTTCACGTATTATTTTTTCTATGTAAATTAGGGAACAGCAAGATTCAGGAGGTGAAAGTCTTTTAAATGATGATGATTAATGATTGCACTGAAAGTATCTGAAACCATGTTGTTTCTTTTTTAATTGCAAAGATCGGTTGCATTGAAATTCAAGTGATTGAGACTTCCTGACTCAGTAACACCAGAAAAGTGAAATTCAGCACAAAGAGTGGCAAAACTGTGTAAGCCAGGCTAATAAAGGTGCCTTCCCACTTTTTTGAACTACAAAAAGCATACCTCTGGAAGCACTTGGGATGTAGCTGAAGAAGCAAATACTTCATTTTCACTTCTGCTGATTGTTCCTGCTTCAAAGACGGGATCTGGGCTCAGGCAGTCAGGAGAGCGGCTGAGAACAGCCCCCGAGGTCGGTGCCTCGAGCCAGCAGCTTCTCCGCTCCGCTGAGGCTGTGAATAGCAGCTGGGAAAGGTGAATGTGCACAGAAGCAAAAATAGGATCCAAGTGTGAAATTAGCTCATGCGTTTCTAATGCACCTCCTGATCGTTATCCTGCTTTTTTCAGTGCTGCTTAGGTTTTTTTAGCTGTTTTAACTGATATTCCTCATACCAGGCGTAGATATCATTCCAAGCAATTCTTTTGCTTATAGCCGGTAAAAAGGGGGAAAGTCGCAGCGTTAGAGGAAGAGCGCACACCGTGTTCCCAGCACAGCTGTCCTTGCAAGCTCCAGCCTTCTTTTTCCATGTCATCTTTAACACACAGAGTGCCTGGCGTGTAATGAGATAACCCGACTGTACTGCCACGTGTCCCAGAGCGGGGGTGATAGGTGGCACAGCACTGGCTCACTGTATCTTGCGTAAGCGATTCTCCGGGGCTGTGTTGTAGTTGGGCAGCTCGTTGTGTTGTCCGAGGCTTCCGTGCCCGCTCGGACGTTGTTCGGGAGCGTCGGAGCCGCCTCGCTGCCTGGGCTGGCCGCGGCGAAGAGGAAGGTCAGGCTCAGTCTGCTCGGTTCAGCCATTTGCAGCCACTGCCGAGGCTCTGCAGGAGTGTAACGGCGATCCTCGTGATGAAAGGAGGAAGAGAGCTAAGTGTTTAAAAAGTAAAATAAAAAGAAAGTGAAAGAAATGGACTTAGTTAATGATAACCAGAGCCATTCTGGGTAAAAGGAACTACCTACTGGTAAAACCGTTTTATTGTTTCCAGGGGCCCAGTGTGGTTTTTGTCTGGCACAGACAAGAAACCAAAAAAGCTTATTTTACAAGAGGCATTTCAATAACCTCCTGGAACTCACTTGAGTGTTGGGTTGGTGCACAAAAAGGGCTCACACCTTGCAGCTTTGTGCCCGTTTTTGCATGGCTGGTATTACCTGTAGCATCCTGTAGGTTTGGGGCTGTGTATGCCATCCTGAGTTTCTGCTTTCTGCAGGTACATTTGTCTTGTGTGACTCTTCTCCCCCAAACGTACCCTGGCCCTCCTGCCGTTCTAATGGCATTTGCCACTTGTACACAACAAAAGTGGTTTATGGAAAAATAACTCCTCTGGCCATTTCTTTGAACTACTTTGATATTCTTAGTAGCAAATGATACTAACTCCTCCTTCCTAGAAAAGACCTTGCCTTCATTTTGGTTTATAAAGCTGAATGATTTGCAAAAGCTGGTTTTGCTGGAATTCCTCCTCCAGGCCTGGCTCTTAGGGTCGGTCTGTGGGACTTGTGGCTCCAACACGTGGCAGCGGCGTGACCATCCTCTGCAGGGTCACCGCTCCCTCGTTTCTGGCCACATCCCGAAGGAAACCTTCGCACCGATGCAGTGTCAGTGTTCTGGGTGGCTGGAGGAAATCTTGGCTTCGTTTTGAACTGATTTACAGGACGGGGAAAGGATGAGGAGGAGGACACAGGGTCCATCTGGTTTAGGACCTTGACTAAGTGACCTGAAGACACATCAAAGTCTCAGCTTGGCTTTCGTGTGCTTTCTCCCTAGGATATCCCCACCGGAGCCGACAGCTGTGTGACCAGCCTCTCGTGCGATTCTCATCGTTCCTTAATTGTGGCGGGGCTGGGGGACGGCTCCATCCGCGTGTTCGACAGGAGGATGGCTCTGAGTGAATGGTAACTGCCCGTCCTCCCCAGGCTCGGTGGGATCCGCGCGGTCCCTCCTCCTCCCCTTCAAAACGTCTCTCTGCTTGTTCCTCAGCCGTGTCATGACCTACCGAGAGCACACGGCCTGGGTGGTGAAAGCATACTTGCAGAAACATCCTGAAGGCAACATCATGAGTGTCAGGTAAAAAGATTTTACCATTTGAGCTGTTTTCTCTTAAATGGAGTTTGCTTTTCTATTTCAAATCTACCCCTGGTATGTCAAGAGCTAGGAGCGTAAAGCTCTTTAGTTTGATATTTGCTCCCGTAATTAACTCCTGCTCCAAACTTGGTGGAGAGAAGGCAAAAAAGCGATGGGAAGCTCTCCTTGGAAGCCTGTTAGTGAGGTTTGAGAGCAAACAAGAAGGCGTCTTTGCTGAAATCCCTGTCACGAGGCGTGTGAGGGAGGAATCGAGTGAACCAGAAACCGAAGCTAGATACAGCATGTCTTACGGTTGTTGTTCTTGATTGCCAACATCTCCGTGGGGTCATTTGAGAGAGAACACGAGAAGGAAGGTTGATGTTGCATCTGTTGGGCATATTGCTGTGCAGGATTACTTTGCTGTCTAGCAATTTTCTACACATAAATCTGTTTCTGCTGCCTTGTAAATACTGCGGAGAGAGCAGCATATACTTATTTGGCCATTAAAGAACAGCAGAATGTAATTTATTGTCACAAAGCCACTGTTTGCACACAAAGAGGCTCTTTTTCTTGATTACAAAGTGAAAACAAAACGTAATTTTCTGGGATTCAGAACATTCCTGAGATGGGGGATGGGCCAGCAAAAATGTATTAAGATTTTCAGAAAGGGGATTATGTGATGCAGCTGCCAGATTCGTCGAGCTCACGTATTAGAGTTTTTAATCTTCCTTTCCATAATCTTCAGCAATCCCAGGGGTCAGGCCTGTGCGCTTGGCCAGCCCGGCTCTGAGCGCTCGTTTTCTCCCCTCCTCGGTGCCCTTCTCGGCACGTGGTGCTTTCTCTCGGGATTGGAGAGCTTTGAGAAGATGCCGTACTTCAAAGGACAGGTCTGGGCGCAGCCCAGAGGAACTCGGTTTGGTGAGACAAGCCACCTCGCGCTCAGTTTCTCCCAGTTCACTCTCTTCAGTTGACAGCAAGATCCAAGAAAAACAGCTGTTAGGATGTAGCGAGGTCTTGGTACAACTATTTCCCGAAAAACTTGAAGGTGCCGCGTGGCTCGCGCAGCGGTTCTCTGAGCCACAGCAACGCGTTTTCTCTGGACCAGAGGCAGGAGTTGGGAACGCAGGACCGGTGACTCCGAGCCGGATCCCGCAGCTCGGCATTGCCCGGCGCCGGTTCACCACGTGAGGTTGTGTTCAGCCGCTTGCATCTACGTGCTAGTGCCGCCTCGGTGCTTCTAATTAACCGTCAGGTCTGCTGTTATCGGGCTGACAGCCTTGCTGGAAAAGGTCCTTGGACACCTCCTGAATATCCTGGTTTAGCAGCGTGGCTGCTGCTGACTGTTGTAGTTCGACTGGGCTGTGTTTTCCTATGCAGTCCCTCATCACAGAACTTCGCTTCCATTTTAAAGCTCTTGCGTGGTCTCCTAATACATTCAGGACCATTTTCAAGTCTTATTAAGGTTCAAAGCTTTAAATGACTTTGCTGTATATTTCATCTCTCTCAAACAATATTTCCGTCTAGTCTTCAGGATCTAAATCAACCTCAAGTTTAATTTGTCTTGAATTTAATTATGTTACAGCTGGAGTTGCAGCTTCTTATAATGATAGAAGTGATCCTGTATAACAGCCTTTTGATCAGTATTAGATGTTCCAGAGGTATAAAGAAACCGAAGGCAATATGCTTCTCCATGCTTCCGTTGTTCTTAACTCAATAGGGTGATTCACAGTCGTACGGCCATCAGTGACTTGTAAAAAAAATAACACTTTAAAAGTCGTGGTGCCAAAAGCATTACTTCTGCTGGCAGCAGAATAAAGTTAGATGAGTTGATTTTGAATTTAGTTTCCATAAGAGACTTTTCTGTTTGTCTTTCTGTACTTCAGTTGACCAGTGTCCCAGAAGGAGCTCAGAAGAGCAGATGTACCATAGCAAAATCTTCAGTCCTCACTTCCAGGGCTGTAGGAAGACATGCACCCTCTTCACATCGAACAGACGTGATTCCACTGATGTATTTCAGAGAGATCACTTAACAAAAAGAAATGATTTGTGTTTGAAAGATGCTTGATCTGCTAAGTGCAGTATCTTGCCACTGTTGCTTTCCCCACCCTCTCTCCCCTGATAAAGTCCATGAGTAGGATTGACACATCCTGAGCAGGTTTGTTACACCTGGTCCACAGCGTACTTGGGACAGCAGGACTTGTGCGTCCGTGTCCAGACATTGGCATCATGGACGGTGCCAGCAGATCCCATCTGCTTGGAGATTTCTAATACCGTTTCCTGCTGTGCAAAGGAGAAGGAGTGTGGGTCTGACATGCAGCTTGGTATATTGAGTGTGACATAGCAGTAAGGCACTTACTCGGCGATGAGCTGTAAGCGATTAAAGTAATAATGGATCATTCCTGAGGGCAGAGCTGTTTGCTCTTAATGTGTACCAAATGTAAGTGACATCAGTGGGAATCGGGCCGTACTGATGGAGAAGGCAAGGTGCGCGTTGGATTTTCTGACCGAGGCGGTCAGCTCACAGGCAGACACACGGCTCGATTCCCTGGGGCTTTAGGATCTGCTTTGGGTGCAGCCTGACGTTGTGAAACTCGTGTGTTGGCAGTGTGAACGGAGATGTGCGGTTCTTTGACCCCCGGATGCCAGAGTCCATGAAGGTCCTGCAGATAGTCAAAGGGCTGACGGCCCTTGACATTCACCCGCAAGCCAACCTCTTCGCGTGGTAAGTTCTAGTTCCATCTCCTGCATCCCTGGCGCCGACAGAGAGGACGATTTGTCTCTGCAGACATCGTTCATGGTGTTTTGTTGGTTTTGTTGTTTGTTTTAGCCTCACCACAACAGTGCAGCTTCTTTCCCATGGTCGCAGCTCAGGAATTTTATCCCTTGCACACATTAGTGACACCTCTGCACTGGTGACTTAATGTGATGGTATACAGTTTTACGCTCCTACGTCAAATCCCCATTCAAAGTCAGCATCTGTATTTTTAGGCTCTGAGTGGGGACCAGCAATGGCTCCACAGCCACGTACGCTGGAGGTTGTGGGGGATCCGCTCTCAGTGCGCGTGTGCATCAGCTCTTCGTGTTTCTGGCTCGGTCCTGCAGCGTAACAGGTAGCTGCGGTTCAAGGCTTGCTGTAGGTAGCTCTGCACTCAGGTTGCCATGGCACAGTTACAGTCAGCCCCCCCACTGTTGCAAGAACTCATCGCACACTAGTCTGATGAACCGCTCAGTCCACACAGTGAAAAGGGGGCTGTACGTGCCGATATTGTTGTTACCACAGCGTTCTCGGTGACACCGTGTTCTCTTGATTCCCTTCCAGCGGCTCAATGAATCAGTTCACTGCGATCTACAACGGAAACGGGGAGCTGATCAACAATATCAAATACTACGATGGTTTTATGGGACAAAGAGTTGGAGCCATCAGCTGCCTGGCTTTCCATCCTCACTGGGTCTGTAGTCTCTCTCTCTTTTTGGATATGCTGTTCCCATTCCTGCCTGTCGCTCTGGGACCGCAGCTCTGTGCTTCTTGCCACAGAAGTTGTGAATTTGCCTGGAGCTCACTGGAGAGGTGCCGCCTCTCAATTCCAGCACGCAAAATTGTATGTGCTTCTTGCAGACGGTAGGCTCACCCCTGTGTCTCTGGGGCTGCTTTTACGTAAGGCTTTAGTAAGACCTGATGCTGTGCAGGAGAAAAACTGTATGTCAGAAAAATGAGAGAACTGCAAAAATTAAAGGCAGAAGCTGATAAAGTCTAGAATGAATCAGAGTAACAAGGAAATTTCAGAATATGTCACAGCTGAGGTGGCTCTGCAGTAGTCGTTAGAGGTTGCTACTTAATTAGGAGGCAGGTGCCCATCTGCATTACGGACTTCTGCTCACCCAGAGACGAGAATAAATGAAGGAGATTGAAAGCCAAAGAAAACAATGTGAATGGATAGGAAAACCAGGAGGAGGTTAAAGAAGGCTTTTAGACAGAGAGTTATTTCAGAAACCTGCGTATCAGGACACAAATGTTCAATACGTAATGGGAGAGAGCCGTGGGGATGGTAAAGGCCTGGCGAGAGGAGGGGAGGGCTGAGCTGCCTGCGCTCCGGTCCCAGCGGGGCAGGGGAGGGAGGGCGGTTCTCCTGCCTCGCTTGTGTCTGTCTGCGTCCTGAGGACAGCAGGGTCCTTCACTGGGATTTTGGGGGACAGAGAAAGAAGTGGCTGATCCTTGGAAATGTTTTGCTCTTTAAATAAGCAAACACAAAGCCCTGTCCAGCCCGGGTCTCTGTGGCCGGGATTGCTCCTGGGCCTCTCAGCGGAGGGAATGCTCGTTCCCGGTCCAGGCGACTGTTCCTAACTAGCAGATTTGCAGTCATTTAGAAAAATTATGTTAGCGGTTGGCAACTAATAGTCACCATAATTTTTCCCTGTGGCTGAAATGGGCATATAACTCGCTGAGACGATGTAGGTGCTGGCAGAAATGTCGTCAGAGCTGCGTTGGCAGATGCACTTAAGCGCTTTCGAGCATCTGGGTGTTACTGCTGAAAATGTCGACCGTTACCATTTTGCCTGTGATGTGCCTCTCGTTACCGCGTGACACCTGTACGTTTATCCCCAATTTGCTCTTTCCGCAGCCCCATCTGGCAGTCGGAAGCAATGACTACTACATCTCCGTGTACTCGGTGGAGAAGCGGATCAGATAACGGCTCGTGGCAGCGGCGCAGGAGAGGGGAGTCCCAGCGGGCAGGGCCGTGTCTCACCCATAGTGTACATAGTGAAATTATCGACTTGAATGTTTAGTGTTGGCTGCTGCTGCAACCCATAACTTGAACTTTTTTTCTGACTTAGCTACTGATGATTTTGACAAGGGGAAAAGAGACAATCTCCTTTTTTTTTTTTTTTTTTTTTTTTCCCCTCCAGCTATATCCTCTAAAAGCTACAGAAAAGGAACATTTTATTTTTGTTTCCAGTGGTTGGCTTCTCTGTTAGAAACACGGCTCCTGAGCTTGGAAGGACTGGATGAGGCAATACCCTTGAAAAGGGCTTTCTGGTTTAGTCTTTGTTTCTTCGTTTTGCTGGAGCGTAGGTTGCTGTAAGGACTGAAGTCAGGACTCACCTACAGCTCTGTGCGTTCGACCGGACCACGGGACCCCTCCAGCTGCTGCCTACCCCGTGCCAAACGGTAACTCCTCCGGCAGGGCAGCGAGCCCCGAGCTGTCCATCTGCAGAACTACGTACGCGCTCGCGGGCAAGGGAGGCAGGGAAGCGTCTCCTCTGCGTGAACCTTGTCCCCTCTGCAGCGTCCTCCCCGGTGGAAGCAGGGACAGAAGGCGGCTCGGTGGCAAGGGGAGGCAGGGATCCTGAGGAGATGGCAGGAGCAGGGCAGGATGCTGCCGTACCGTAAGGTTGCACATACGGGAAGAAGAGGGAAGAACGAGAACGGACATCTCTAACGTCCCAGCAAGACTGGAGCAAGTCACTCGTAACCACTTTCCACACGGTGCCGTGGGGAGGCCTGGGGTATCCCGGTCACTGTTCCTCCTGCAGTCACTGTCCTTCTGCCCACCGAGAACTCCACAAACACGTTTGATAGCCCGGGAGCTCTGCCCAGCCAGCGAGGGAGGCTCCGGGCTCCAGCCACGGGCTTTCCTCTCGCTCCGATGTGCTAATATTCAGCCAGGTGATGGTCGGGAGAATTTGCACACTTGCTGCTGTGTGTATGCAGCTGCGCGCGCGGCCGTGGCTTGTCCGTCTGTCCCTGCAGAACTGGGCATGTAACCACACGTGGGCTGAGCACAAGAGAATCACTAAAGGAGGGGGAAGACAGCAGGTCATCCTGCTTGGAGCAAAACAGCTTTGTCCGAGCTGTCCGGGGGAAAGCCTGCTCCGTCTTCCGCCCCTTCCACGTCTGAGTAATGAATGTTTCTGTCTCTTGGAATCCATGATGGGTCTGGAGATGGGTGTGGGGAAGGGGTAGGCAAAGCCAAAGGGCACGTTTCTTTCATGTGCTGCCGAGGTGCGATTTAGCTGGCCAAGAACAGAACTTGGGCTCTGCAGAAATCACTGCGGCGACAAAGGTTGACCTGCTGAGTCCAGAAGTCCCTGGTTTTTCTTCCAGCCGGTATCACGGGGTCTGCAGGCTCCCAGCACACTCTGCCAGCGATGAGGCCGGCAGTGAAGGAAATACTAATGAGGGAGGGGGGTGAGAAACATTCTCTCCCTGTGCAGATTGGGGCTTCACCTCTGCCACAGCGCCTGTGGAGTGCGTCTGACCCGTCACTGCTCCTCACACACCAGATAATCTCGTTTCCTCTGTGTGCTGAGGCAGCTGGGCCATGCAGGGCTGGTGGAGCTGGCCCGCAGGCTGGCCCGGGCTCGCTGCAAAGTGCCGCACGCAC